CAATCATTTTGGACCGGTGACAGGAATCTAGCATTGAACAGAGGTGTATCAAAAATTCCATGACAAAAGACATTCCTACGCATGTCGAACATACTTATTACAAGGCACGGATATACAAAAATAGATACAGTACAGCCGCTAATCTTCAAATCCTATACCGTAGAGTCCCCAGCCTTCAACGTATCTACCCCGCTCTTACTCAACCCTCCTTCATACCCATGCCCACCTCCTATATTTTCTCTCCACAGCTTAACTGACCTGGGAACCACATCCTCAGGAATCGTAGGCATTTCAATATCAATATCTTTTCCTTTCTTTTCAAGTTGACTACCACTGGAGGATCCATTTAGAGTGGTGCTGCCGGCTGTGTTACCGCCGCTTGTCAAGTTGACAGAGTGGGCTTGTCTGCTCACTTGCTCTCGGATTGATTTACGAGTGAGTAGTCTATGAATGTAAATACGGTGGCAGGCACATTCGTCAGCTGAGCCCAGAGTATCCTAATGTAGAGAAGACACACGTTGAAAGCACGGCGATGGTAGTAACTGTTTACAACAAAGGTAGTTACATTTTGGAGTCAACTTATAGACATGGGATTTACTCACTTTGACCGCCAGGATACAGTGGAAGTAAGCTAAGTGCAAATAAAAATTGTCAACCTTTTTTAGACCCAAGTTCAACTTTACTTACAACAACATTGACCTATTGTTATGCAGATACTACCAATCAAAAGAATCAATATGTGCGTTCTGGTCATTGGAATGAGGGACTCACCAATGTCAGCTCTATAGCCGTAAGCATAAAGTTAAATCCGCCCCGATTAAGGATATACACAAGGATTTTGGAGATCATAATATTTGTAGCTTTCACTCTCGAATGCGAACGTTTTTGGTGGAGAAGATATGTTAGATTGAAAGTGACACTTCCATCGCAGATGACGGCGAGGACAGCGGAGGCGATGATGTGATCCTGGAAGTTCAAACTTGTAAGGATTTCAGTAAGTGAAGAGTGAGATCGGTGTTACGTTGATTGAAAATATGAGTGCAAAGTGGCCCATCGCTTGTAAACGTCCGGTAACGTCTGTGTCAATTAAGAATTCAGTAAAGAAAGATCAGGGATCGGAAGGCGACACACAGAAGCTGAGGCCTAGAGAATAATATGACGTTGGACCGTCAGGCATGAACAAAATGTTGGGAAGATAGTAGGCATACAAAGAGTCGTGGTAGAGAGAATAGCCTAAACACGAATTCAGATTTTTGTTGATTTATTTTGATCATAGGACTTACGGGTGGAAGGGTATTCCAATAATTTCCGCCCGATACTGAGCGTGCATAACTATGAGTAAATTTTCAAAGGTCGAGCATCCGTGAACTGACAATTCCATATACGATATACAAAGAAGCTGCGAACGGTTTTAGATTCCCAAAATAGATTTGGCTTGATACACACCTTTGAGTGAAGAAGAACAATAACCACTAAAGAGATGCATGAGTTACGTCTTTGGAAATATTCGACAAGAGCCCCTCACCATAATATACAGCTGTACAAGTGCGACACTGTTATAATAACTTGGGATCCCGAAGCAGGAGACCGAAAAAAGAGAACGCACACAGGAACCTCATCCAAAGAGATAAGTTTTCCAAAATTTTCGATCAATGTCTGGTGTACCCAGACCGCGGCGGTAATTATCTGTCCAGTTGCTAGAGATCTACATCTCTGATCAGCTTCTCAGACGCTCCAAATTGGGATCGACGCATACAGCAGTATGAAGACCTTGTTACATATAGGGTGGTCCGAGTCAAATAAGTTCTGCGTGGGATCAAACTAACCTTGCTCACCAGCATTTTAATATACGCGGGATCGTTGGGGTATATGAGGAAATACTGGGCTGAGAGAAACTGAGGAAAAAATGTGTAGCTTACTTGCTTGGAAGGAGAGGCAAACTCACCGCAAGAATGGCGTAGAACCTGTAATGTACAGACGCAAATTTTCAGAGATGAGAGTTCCGATACACTAAAACATGTACATACCCAATAGCCAGGCATACTGATATGAGAAGGCATCCCAACGTACTCGAGATCAAGTCTAGCATAGGGCATTACTCGCAGCGAAGAACCGTTGGGTTTTTATATCGCACTGCAGGAAGCAAAGTTGTCGGTGAGGTGACGTTAGTGGATCTCGCTGTCAGTTAGAACGGGGGATTTGAATGCAGGCTATTCAACTCGGCTCCTGAAGCTGAATTTCGAAAAATAGGAAGCGAGGAATCTTCTTTTAAATATGAATCGTAATGTGCCACGGCTTGCGAAGTGGCGATCGTACAAGCAGGAAGATCGTCTCCTTTTCTTGGTTGAATACGAATGAGGAGGCGTGCAGTAGAAGCTAATTACTCCTATCCAGCTCGAGCTCGAAGAACACTACATACCGGAAGCTATCGTTCTAACATTCATAGTAATATGATAAGAAGGTCGAAATTCCAGAACTAAATAACATTGTTTTACAGAACCTCTAAAAGCAGGTGACGAATGCACTCAAGCGCAGGAGTGTGACCGCCGTATAGTAACGCGAGTATCCACAAAAATCAGATTGAACGGAACAAGACAAAGCTGGTTTTATCAGCCACCAAAGGCGTCGGAATAGACGGATAAAATTCATGCACCCAGTGACGCGACGCGTTTTCTTGGCATTTTTCGGACCGGAACAGAATACTTTTACGTCAGAAAAAATGAGTCAGAAAAAATGTTGTCAGCGCCGCCCATCATCAGTCCACCTCGGGTTTTCTTTCATTTGCCAACCCAAACAACCGTCTCTTCCTGCTTACACATTTTCTAGCTCTTTCTTTGAACAAAGGACAAAGAAACAAGGGTTTTTGAAATTTAGACCATATACTTATACTCTCACAACAAAACAATCGACTACATCATCATGCCTACGACAAAAATCAACACCACTCCCCCACCTGATACCAAGATTGGTCCTGTGTACGAGTATACTGAGGAGCAGAACCAGATGATTGATGAGCTGAGACAGGTGCGATACTTTGCGATATCTGCTAATAGACTGCTCAACCTTCAAATAGTACGCCTTCACCCTCCTGCTACCTCCCACAGATCCCTACCACCCATGGGAAAAGCGCTGGCTCAACCAACCCGACACGATCCCCCGTTATATGCGTGCTGCTAAATGGAAACTCCCCGACGGAAAAAAGAGGATCAAAGGAACATTGGAGTGGAGGAGAGAGTTTAAGCCTGAGCTGATAAAGCCAGATGAGATCAAGATTGAGGATGAGGGTGGCAAGATGTGAGTACTCGACTCTTTCATTGTTGCGCATGTTGCACACACCAGGCTGACGCGTGTTACGCAGAGTAATAAACGGCTTTGACAAAGATGGCCGACCAATTATATACATGCGCCCTGGAAGGCAGAATACCGAGACGAGCCCGAGGCAGTTGAGACATTTGGTTTGGTGTTTGTACGTTTTTTCTTCTTTGTCTCTCCCTTGGCTTACCCTAGTCTTCCTTCAAACAGAGAACGCGCAAAAGACCTCATGCCCCCAAATCAATCCTCCCTCGTCATTATTGTCGATTACAAAACGACCACTCTCCGAACAAACCCTTCGATATCTGTCGCGTCCAAGGTTCTGACTATTCTTCAACAACACTATGTAGAAACCCTGGGTCGGGCTATAGTCACCAACTTGCCCTTTATATTAAACTTTTTCTACAAAGGTATTTCTCCGTTTTTGGATCCCGTTACAAGAGATAAGGTGGGTTCCTTGTCTGATCACTATTTCTCGCTTTACTCATGGACGTGTAGATGCGCTTCAACCCCAATTTGCTGGACCTTGTTCCGGCATCACAGCTGGAAGCAGAGTTTGGTGGGGAGTATGATTTCGAGTTTAATCACGACGATTACTGGAAGCAGATCATTGAGTGAGTGAATTCTTGTGCCAGCCTTGCCTTTTCTCTGTCTCGCTTCAACATACTTACAATGCTACAGAACTTGTGGAATCGCACCAGACGGAACAAGAGTCAAGGGTAGGGGACTGAATCCGCCCGAGATCGAGGGTGAAGGCGACGAGAAGGAGAGGTGAGTCAAAAAATGCTACTCCCAAAGTCGACATGATTGACTAACTGATCGTCTATTGTTCTTCCTTTCTTTCACCTCTTTTCTGTTCACCAACGGCTCCTACTACTGCCGCTTCCGGTCGGACCCGTCCATGACGCTATTTACCTGACATGTCGAATGCTAAATATCAAACCCCACAACTCCAAAACCCGCATCCATCGCATCTTTTACTTGTGTTCATCTACCCGTACCGATTCCGGCGTCACCTCGCCTACACCCTCGTATATCGGAACCTGCTGAACGATGATCCTAATACGTGTATGTGTATGTATACAGCGAGCCCGAACCCCACCCCGAGACATCCAACGCAAACACTAAACCGTCTTCATCGGCCTCATCAACCCATACGACAGTAGATACCGATGCAGACGCAAAAGCGGAAGAGACTCGTTTATCTGAAAAGATGAATGGAGTGTCGATTGCAGACCAGCCAGTTACTGTTCAGGCACCGGCTCAGGCTGTTGGTGTGTAATCCCAAGCCTGAGCTTGGCATAGTATGGTATGATATGGTATAGTATGGTATTGTCTGTTGTTACACGTGTACTCTGCGTTCTGGGTATGCCTTACATTTGCGTGTGAGCCTTGGAGCGTAGCAGAGTCCGAGTTGTCGTGCTACAGCTGACACTGAGGCTGGGAAATGCTGGTGCTTGGCGCCTAGACGTTACAGGTTGGGGCTGGTCGACTCCTAGGCTGGATAACCTATATGATATATTTTTGTGTAGACTGGTATTTAGATGTCGATATATGTAGAATATAATGAGCGCATGTACATATTCTATAATGTTGAAGGCGGCTGTTTACTATCTAGCATTCCAGTATTATTATAAAGCATACAAGTGCATATAATAAAAAAAAAGAAGAGGGGAAAACGAAGCTATCTCCCTGGCTGGGAGTCGAACCCAGCTTTCGCGCGGCAATACCCATGACAGGCGCGTGTACTAACCGATATACTACCAGGGAGTTGGAAAGGTCCGAGGTAGGTACCATGTAGGCGCTAGGAGCCACTTAATAAAGGAGAAAATTGGCAAGAATCTTGAAGGATTTTCCAGAGATGCTCGAGGTGTAGATTGGTATTTCAGTGCGGGAGCGAATGATGAGCTACTTTATACAATTAGGGAATTCTTACTTACTGTAAATGGCTCTAGTCAATGTAGACGACACTACCATTTTGATATGTACAGTGTAGCTTCATTAGATTGATTATATTATGCAGGAATCACTGCAATTGTAGAACATATTGTGAAATTTTCAGGGGCTCCTTACGAATGAAAGGAGTAGTTTCTACGCGCAAATACAACCATCACCCATTGCATAAATAGGCATGGCTTCTACAACGCGTGCCACAGATGTTGTAGGTCACTTCAAAATTTTGTTATACACAAGTTCATACAGTATGCACGGGTAATTCTGAGTGTCCCTGATACTTAGATCAGGTTTTGGTTGAGACACCTTTTCCTCTTGAATAACAGCATTGGCTATGCTGTATGTCCCGAATACCACTGGTACAAAGAGTTTATGTCCAGTACCATCGATGTATCCCAACTTTGCGCCGCATCTTGAGGAACACTGATAATACTTTAGTAGGTACGATGCACCAGGACACTACTCACTTGGAAGGATCGCTAAACTCGCGATATGCACCTAGGTAGTTGTAATCTGGATTATAATGCATGTGGGAAGGTACCACTTCAAATTAACAGTCAATTTAGGAAATACTGTCTGAAGTCAGTAAAAACACTCTCACAATGCATCTCCGTGCGAGGATCATTTTGGAAAATGGACATTCGATCCTGGTCAGAATCATAGCGATGGTCAGTGTGTATGAAATGACTAGTATGGCTAGATCCATCCTGTAACTGTCCATCTGCGCTGGTTCCAATGCCAGCATGAGATGCCCGTAATATAGAAGCATCCGATTCCCAACCGGAATGACTGTCGACTACGCCTGAGGGATATGCGTGGCGTTGGATCATGGGATGGAACATTGGTTCCTGGTTTCCGCGGGAGTTGCTGGCCAAGGTGTGTAGAGAAAGATGGGTAGTATCAGCTGAAGCCAAGTCAGAGCTAGAACCGCCGCTGCCGTAGTTCAAGACAGGCCGGACGTCTAGAATAGACTGTCCCTCTTTCGCAGCCGCATCCGACGTCCCCAAGCCGGAGCCGAAATTTTTCGAGGCACTAGGCATTAAAGTCGAAGTCGAAGGAACAGATGACATCACTGATGTGGTTCCCAGAATAGGATGGAAACCGCTTTCATCCTTGCTCTCCATTTCATCCCTTGGACGTTTCAATCTTTGAGAGCGTTGAGAATCTGGAAGGGATAAATTTTCTTTAGAGTTAGATGTCTTGGAGAGAGGGTCGTGTCCAAATATCGTAATGAGAATGTCCCTGAAGATAGATACATCAGTAATAGTGATAAGTATAATATCTTCTAACGTCAACGTGAGCGTACCTGAGACGACCGGAGGCGGCATGCCTATACATCCGACAGATGATGAGCTTCCACCACGTTTCTACTATTGTACCAACCAAAAATACAAACTTACTTTGCTTCCCATTCGCGGAAAAATCCAACACACCGATATATATCCGATATCTCTTTTCGAAGGTCGACTAGCAACTTCAACTCCTTCCCTCTAAAAATATTGAGCAGAACGATGATTGCAGAGTTGTACGCTGCAGCCTGCGCAGTTGTTTTATTGTTATCAGTCTTAAAAAAGGCAGAAGAAGAGTATTTCCCTTACCGAAAAGGGGAAATGATAGGCAGCTCGAGGATTCCTTTTTTGGAGGACGTCCAAGACGTCTATACATGAGCGAGCGGCATTGATACAAACGGCTACAGAAGAAAGGCTGTTTGTGGTTGCTTCGTCTCCTTGGCGAGGGATAAATAGTCTATGGACACGAATCTGTATCCAGTAAAACGTTGTATAGAGCGCACTCGACTGAGTAAGGAAAACCTCGTTTCCACATCGAGGGTCCCACTTGACTGTTGATTCGAATGTCAGAGATGCAGCTCTTGAGTGACACAGGAGAATGATAAGACGTACGATGGTTAGGAAGCCTTTTCAACCAATCGTTTAATGCAGAATCGATTTCGATGACTGCCATTTGATTCCAATTTGAACCAGTCGTCGTCAGTCTTTCACTCAGTTCTGATCGTCGAACTGAACTCTATCGAATTTGACGAATTTTAAGGTATCGAAGATGATAGAAAGAATTAAATTTACCAATGTCTGCTCAACAAAACTAAGAATCTCCAGTAAAGGCAAGTAAAAGTTCCAAAAGGCTGCTGGTGATTTGTCTGGATCGTTGCTCCAGCCCTCATCCTCGCGTTCAACCACGAGGGGTTCTGTATCAAAACTGCGCGCGTCAAGATCTGTACGCCCACGAAGATGCGGCAACACTCACTCATCCACGGATGTTGCGACTGGACGTCCCAAAGCAGAACTCATGTAAATATCGTGAGAGAACAACATCCAAAACGCAGTTTTCCAAAGTTCATTCTCTAGTTTTGATATCTGCTTTCCTCCACCTGCGTCGAATTTGCGACGATGAAGACCTCTCTGTTGGGAGAACCGAATTCCTAACCCAATTAAGACCCAAGCAAAATCCGATTGGTTGGTAGTTTGCAAGAAACATATTGCTAACTTGCAATTAATGAGCCGATGTCCTTCAGCGAGAACAGATGACATACGCAAAGAGCCTGTAGTTCGTGTAGAGATACAGGTACCATAGGTCTTTTGAACAGATTGATCTGCTGGAACCACCTCCAACCGAAACTTAGAGAAGACGTATGAGGCTGAGGCAGGTTTCTAGGATCTTCGGTATATCTGGATGCTACAGAACACAAAACAAGAACCAGTTGCCCAAACTGATAGTCCCGATGATGCAGTCCTTCGGAGAGTGCTTTTTCAAAGGTAGCTCTGTGCAGTAACGGATAATAAGGATGATGAAAAGTAAAATAGGTAGTGGTGAGGTCACGTAGATGGGCATCATCAGGAAACTGAAAGGCAGGTGGGTCTTTGACAGCCGACTCCCAGTATTCGAACTGGACAATTGAGAAGAGTAACTAATTACACGACAGGTTAAAAATCAAAGCTTTTACAAGGACGCACAGGTAGCGTAGACCAAAACTCGGGTCTCTTCACCACGTCGGGATATTTCTTCAAGTTCAGCACTTGCATAAAGAACAGGGGGTTGCTCGATTTTCCAAAATGTTGATTCTGCACTCGAGTGACCTGCAATTTGGCGACTTGTTCAGTGAGGATCTGTGTCTCACTACGACCCGACTCTTCTCCAGATACCTCGTTTTCAGGTGAAATACCGGAACCAGATTCCATATCAAGACCAGCGGTGGAAGGTGGAGTGGATTGCGCATATGCGTCCTGTCGCTTTAAGCGCGTCAGCTCTTTTTCTAGGAACCTGATGTACTTCGCGAGGTCTATCAGGACGTCACGAATTTCTTCTTCCTCTTCAGGGATAACAAAACCTTCTCCAGGGGTCTCCGAAAGGATTGAGGTAACCATGAATTTTATCTCGCTGGTATTGGATGGGACACTAGGTCGAGTGAGAAACTCATCAGTCATATTGGATTTATGGTATACTAAATACCTTATTTTCTTGCCTCGTTTCTGGGGGACGTGAGTAAAAAAAATATTAACACTTCGAGGCATTATTTACCTTCCTGACCCTCAGATGAGTACACGAGATCCGTAGACTTTGACACCCAGAGCATACTCCTCCAGGCATATTCGAACTGTCGCCTGTTGCAAACAATTTCAAGTCAATCTTCACAATTCATTTTGAGGCGCCTACATCGGACTTTGCGCCTCCTACATTCATCACATGCTCCTTGTAACCGCCGGCGCTTTTCTTTGTGATGTGTATCGGAATCCGCCATGTCAGTGCTAGATACCGTCAGATTCTGTCCGTTATATTCAGTCAAAGTGACTTACAGGTTAGGAAAAGAGGCAGCGCTAATACGTCAATGGTGGTGGTTGGCAAGCAAGAGGTTGATTTGTCATTCCCGTCACGCAATGACACTTACAATGCCCTTTATATGGATATGGACTGTAAATCCGTTCCCTGAGGATACACTATGACCGAGTAGTAGCGCACGGAACTTCCGAGGACGCACTGTTGGAACGCCGGTCCGAAGGCAACCGAAACGTTGAAACACGTGGCAGCCCACTCTCACATACAACCTAGTCGTTTTGAAGACTCGGTGCAAGATGAATTCTGATTTCAAGCTCATGAAGGACTCGGTACTATCTACTAATATCTAGATACCGCATCTTTTTAATCAACATACATCTCTTCCAGCACTTGTCGACCACCATCGATCAAGATACACGACGCTCAGTTTTAGCTTGCAGAAGGGGTACAGCGATCGCTACTCGCGCCTGGCTACGCATGCGGAGCTTCAGACCACCTCTTCATCTCATATATAAAGATCTCAAGGGAGCGCCGCCATCATCACCGAATCCTTCGCATCCTGATACCAACATGGAGCATGCGCTGCAGGCCCTCACACTCTTGGCGTATTCGGAATCAGCCATATGGAAAAGTGCTGAAGAAAGTTGGAAGTTGATATGGCCCTGGTGCTCTTTCTTTGCAGACACTTTCATTCTGAACCAACGACAACTTCCGCGTACTGTCGAAGGAGTTAATTTTCGGGACGATGCTCTGTGTACTGTTTACCCTCTTCTCGCCAACTTGATCAAACTGCCTGGAAACGTTGCTTTCAGAGCTGTAATACGCCCATTTTCTCGCATAAGCCATATGCTGACAAAATCCTGGCTTTATGCTGCCGAAAATCATCATATCTCGCTTCCTTACATATCCATGGCATGGGTAAAACATCAGTCTCTGTCGATGAATGAGATGCTAGGAGAATGGGACTCTGCTGAATTTGAGGAAATAGCCTATGCATCACCCCATTACCTCGCTGTCACTGCTCTTCG